GGTGGGGGGTGGGGTGGGGGGTGGGGACGGGGTGTGTGGACCCCGCAGGGCCCACAGAGAAAGCAGCAGCGCCCTGAAGAGGGGCACTGGGTGTGGCAGGAGGCCGGAGCAGGGTGCACCAGGGGCGCCAGGGCGGGTCCTGTGCCGGCCGGCCTGGAGGGCCTACAGCTGGGGGCTGGTTGTGCTTGGGTCCTGCAGCTTTCCGGGCAGGGGCTTTCTGGAGCCGCGGGTAAAGTGGAGTCCATGGAGAGTTTGGGGCTCTGGAGACCAGGGCAGGGCGTCTTTGGAGGTTTCCAGGTGTGCGAGGAGGCCCCAGCTGGGCCTCAAATTCAGCACTTCTTTCCTTCGGGCACTTCCGGAATCAATAGCAGGCAGTGCTGTTTACAGCGGTGCGGGATGACACATGGAGACCAAGACTATCCCAGTAAACTGGGGTGGGGGGGGGAGCCCTCCCTCTGGAGGCTCTCGGAAGTGGGGCCAGTTCGGAACAGAAGGAGGAAGCTGATTTCTATACAACCAGCTCAGCCCCCCAAAAGTAAAGTCTTTAATTGCGTCCGGGACTCCAAGCGCACAGTGTTGTGTGCACCCCGTGGATTCGCTGGCCGCAAGGAAGCCCACATTCCGTCATTTCCTGACACTTGGATGGGGCTGGGGTCATCGTGTGAGTGCAGGAAGTGGGCACAGGAAGGCGGGGCCCACGCTTCTCCTTGGAGGCCAACAGGTCGGCCTCACTGGGGCGGGGTAGGGTGTCGGCCTCGCGAGCCCGAGCCTCGACAGTTGCGGGTAGGAGGGCAGAGGACGGCCGGGCCAGGGCGCCTGAGAGCCAGCAGCTGGCGTTCTGCACGTGACCGCGTGGCTGCAGCCCAACAGTTGGTTGGCTGTTTTAGAAGAGGTCCTAGAGGGGACTTGGGAGGTTTGTAACATGCGTAAGGGGTGCGCTTCTGCGATCATGGGTGCGCGGGCCTCACAGGGTACACTGCACCCGAAGGGTCCCCTGCATTGCTTCACAGTTTACAATCAGCGTACAAAGGCACCGCTTGGCGCTGGGCGATGCTCACGGAGGCGAGGTGCGAGTCCTGGGGAATCCGTGCCCCTCCAGTCTCTGGAAGTGCCCCGGGCGGGGCTGGTGCTGACGCCCTCTCTGTTTCTCCTGCAGAAAGCCCCTCTTTGGTGAAGGGGATTTTGTGTGCTGCTCTGAGCTGTGAGCGAGGTGGAGCTCGGCATCTCATCTTCTCCGCTATCCAAGGGGCCGTGCTGGGGCACAGCCTCTACCAGGTTAGTTGTCTTTCTTTTTCTTTTTCTCTTTGTCTTGAGGCAGGGTCTTACTATGTATCCAGGCTGGCCTTGAACTCACGGCAGTCCTCGTGCCTCAGCCTTCTGAGTGCTGCGATGACCGGCATGTACCACCAAGGCTAGTGCTTTTGTCATCTTTTATATTGCAGGGACTTTCATGGCCATTGGCACTGGCCCTTGCCAGGTAGTTGGGCTCTTCCTGCCGCTTGTCCTTATGGCTAGAGCAGCAGTGTTGTGCGGGGGTCATGAGGGCAGCTGAGTTAGCAGAAGGCGGCTTCCTGCTGCTGCGTGGCTCTTGGTTTCTCTCAGCGCTGAGCCGATACCCCTGCGTACACTCACCTGCCGAGGGCGCTTGCTCAAGCCTCAGGCCCTCCCCAAGCTGTGTGTGAGGCCCTGACGTCAGCATGCAAACACGATCAAATAAGATGTGTGACAAACGAAAGTAACCAGAGCTCATCTCTCCCACACAGTGACAGCGTGGTGGCTGTCACAGCCTTCCTGAGCCATCCTCTGTGGCATTTCCACAGTGGCAGTACCACTGGGTCCCCCACCATCCCTGGCTCCTCTCGGCCCTGTGTTTGGTGACCTTACACTTGGCCTGGTGACCTTGGGGGCATTTACACTATGGGACATGGCAAGAGCGGATCCTTTATTTATTCATTCATTTTTTTTTTCCTGGACATCTACTTCTTAAGTGTTTGCTGGCCTGTCATTGGCTCCAAGAAATGCGTGCACCTGCAGCTTCTGAGAACTAAGAGCCACATGGTGACCCATGCGAAAATGTCATATATATATATATATATATATATATATATATATATATATATTTCCCCCCCACCCCCGGAACCGGGGATTGAACTCAGGCCCTTGCGCTTGCCAGGAAAGGGCTTATTCTAGGGTGCCATCTTCCTGGGGCTCCTCTTTGTTAATTTATTATTTCATTTTATTTTTTTGGTACCAGAGGTTGAACCCAGGACCTTGTGCTTGCCAGGCAGACACTTAAACCGCTGAGCTATTTCCCTAGCCCTCTTTGTTTAAATGAGTGTCCCAGAGTCCCACACAGGGGCTCCGACTGGCCCAGAACCTGTGCTGTGACTTCTGTCTGCGCAGCTCCCTGGCTTGGAGCTCAGAGCAGAGCCCCTTGCTGGGGGCTGGAAGGATGCGGCATTTGTCCCACAGAGCCGGCCTTCTCCCGGCCAGGCCTGACCACCGCTGGGGCTCTTGCAGGATGGTGGTCCTGCCCAGTGTCATGGGGTCCTCCCAGAAAGTGGAGGGAAGGGTGGTGTGGAGAGACCAGAGGTGGCCACGCTGGGCCTTTGCATCACAGCCAGGGCTCAGAGCTGCCTCTACACCTGGCGTGTGAGGGGCCCGAGCCACTGGCCCCACATGCACACGCTCAGCATCCGGAGAAGCGAGCACAGGCCCTTCAGGGTCCTGGGAGGATGACCACCACAGCCCTGGAGATGGACAGGCTGTCCTTTATCTGTGAAGGTCACCAAGTTCTCCCTCGCTCCCATCCTCCTCTTTCTCTTCCATCTTTTCTTCCTGCTTGCCTCTTTCTCTCTCTCCCCCTGTTCTTCTCCCCCTTTATGCTTGTACCTTCTTTCTTTTACAGTGTTAGGATTGAACCCAGGGCCTTTACACTGACCTATACCCCAGCCACCTTTTCTATTGTTTATTTATTTATTTTGGGAGAGGATCTCCCTGAGTCACTAAGTTGTCCAGGCTGGGCTTGAACTCACCATCCTCCTGCCTCAGCCTCCCAGAGCCCTGGAATTACAGGTGTGCACCACCACAGCCCACCTTGGCCATGAGATTCCTATTTTCAGATTGTGCAGGTCTTTGTCAAGTACATACCTAACCCCAAAACCAAAAACTCCAAATCCTCTGAAATCTAAAACCTTGAGTGCGGATATTGCAGGGCAAATGGGAATTGTACTGACAGGCAACAGCCAAGAGCAGACACTGGCAACATTGCATAAAGTGCCCTCCAGAGTGGGTCTGGTGTGCATACAGCACAAGTAGATTCTATGCTTAGAGCCAGGTCTGAGTCCCACGATGTCTCACTGCGTGTACACAGATATTCCCATCTGAAAAAGAAGGGGAAATCCGGAAGCTGTCTGCTCCCGGGAAGCCCACACCGTGCTGCATGCGGGTCATGGAAAACAGCCCCGTGTTGGGAACAGAGCGGTGCTGTGGAATGAGCGGGGCAAGAGGCTCTGGCTTTCGAAACAGCTTGTACAAAGGCTGGTGACCGCCAAGGCATGAGGGTGGCAGGGAACCCTGGCCGCAGTCAGTTCCCACGGAGAACCTCAGTCCCTGTCCTCTGAGGATGGAAGAAGAGCAGTGCCTAGGCCCGCGCTCCGAGGGGTCTGCCGGGCGAGGCTTCCAGAGCGAGGCTCGGCGTGTCCCAGGCTGCGGGTGGTCACCCCCACTAAGGTACCTGAGGCGGCAGGGTGGGGACAGCTCTGCTCTGCAGCTCCTCCTGCCAGCGCCCCAACACCCACCAGCAAATTCTCCTCACCTCGCTGGTTCCTGTTCAGTCTTATTTTACTTTTCTGGGGTTGACTTATTTTTCGGAGCTTTCTTTTAGGCTCATCTGTGATTCCTTTGCTACGGCTCAGGAGTACTCGTGTGTGTGTGTGTGTGTGTGTGTGTGTGTGTGTGTATGTGTGTGTGTGTGTGTGTGTGTGTGTGTAGCCTTTTCTTTCTCTTTCCCCTTTCCTCTGTCAGCGCCTTGGGCCCTCAGGAGGATTCTAGACCTTGGTTGTTATGAATAAGGCACGATACATGGGGCCATGTAGATGCCACTTTGAGGCCTCCTTTCATTTCTGTCAGGAAAAGCTCCTGCCGTGACATTCCTGGGTCATATAACAGCTCTGAAGGGAATTTTTGGACCAGCCAACCTACTATTTCCCATTATGCTCTGCTGCTGTGTTTCCCACCAGCAGTACACGAGGGTCCCCTCCCTCTCATGCCTCACCCCACTGGGTGTCCCTGGGCCTCCTGCTTGCAGCTGGCTGTCTGGATTTTGCCTGTTCCTGGGCCGCACTCCCTGGTGTGTGGTGGCGCCGAGCACCTCACAGGCGGTTGTTGGCCATCAGGTGGCTGGTACTCATCAGGGAGGTGTCTGTTCGAGGCTTCTGCCTAATTCTAGGAATTGCTAAATTTGTTCATCATTTGCCGTTGTGTTGGACGAGCCCCTGGACAGCAGGGTTAGGGGGTTTGAGTGCCGGCACTTGGCTACTGCGTCACTTGGCAGGCTGGACCTTGTCCTCCACATGTACTAATGAGCTTGCCGCCTTGCTGGCTTGGTTAACAGCAGCGCAGCCATGGAGCCAGGCTGGGAGTTCTTCCCACTCCCTGCGATGGCTTCGCACTTTTTCCAGACAGGATGAAAAATAAACTAAAAACCAACACTATAAGGACGTGTGTTGACCTGGAAACCAGACTTACACCCATACGGATGAGTTTGTGTGTTTCTGATCTACGCCACTGCCGTGTTTTCTAGGAAACTGAGAAGATCTGGAGTTCGCCGCGGCAGCTGCAGTGTGAGAGCCTCCGTAGGAATCTTTCCAGCATCTTGGAAGGCTTCAGAAAGGACTTGGCAAGCGCCACTGAGCAGGACTGCCTGTGCCAGGCCCCGCTGCGGGGGGTCCAGCAGGCCGTGCGCGGGTACGCGGTAGCGCGGCCTCGGGTCTGCCCCAGATGTTCTTCCCCTTTTTTTAAGTTTATGAACTTCAGGTCAGGTGTGGTGGTAGCTGCTTATAATCTGGGAGGCTGAGGCAGAAGGATTGCGCTGAGTTTGAGTCCAGCCTGGGCGATTTAGCAAGGCCCTGTCTCACAATAAAAATTTAAACATAAGGAAAGGGCTGCAGGCGTAGCTCAGTGGGAATGCCCTCGCCTCAATCCCCAGTGCCACAGAAAGCATGCGTTCCGGACATCACCTGTGCCACGCACCGTGAGTACACGTATTCATATGTGTGCTTCATAAGCCATTTCAGCGTGAGTTTTTAAATGTTAATTTGTAAGAGCAGCATCGGGCATGTGTCTCGCCTTAGTCTTGAGGGATTAGACCAGGAAGCCGTGACTACTGTGTTCTAAGTACATTAAGTGCGCAAGGAGGTTTTGCCATATGCTTTCGAAGTGGCTGTCCAGACAGCCGGACGTCTCTGAGTGGCTTCCCACGCGAGGAATGTCCCTGTGTGTTTCCGAAGTGTGAGTCATCCCAACAGGCCAGCAGCTTTGTGCTCCGGAGAGCGCCTGCTCAGGGGCGGGTGCCCGCCAGTCTGGGGCCCCTGTGGGTCCTCAGGCGTCCAGGATCAGTCGATCTGCTATTTTCACATGTGTTACGCATCTAGTCTCCAGACTCGTGTTGCTCGGCGAGAGCTCTGAGATGGACACGGGGCTTAGTATGAACAGGGTTCCAGTACAGTGTCAGAAGACCGCGTACGTCCATCAGAGGGATTTTATAGGGGTGTGGTCTTGTCCCCCAGCTCATCTCCTGGGGACGGAGTCCACGTCATTCCCTCTGATGCCATCTCATCCTTCCTAATTTAGTTTTAATTTTCTGCCACTTAAGCTTGGTCAAAAGTCTTGGGGAGACTTGGATGTCACGGAATCCTGTTGTGACTTTCCTTCGCAACTTCACAGTCACTGGGGGTGAGTGGATGCTTCTTCTAATTGGGCTGGAGTTAAAAATGAAACCTAATATTTCATGCAAATGTATTATTAAAATAAAACAAGAAGGGGAAGTGACTTTGTATGTGATAATTAACAATCTAGAAGTTGGCTGGTCTGATGTATTGGGAGTTGATAAAATAAGTGCTCGGGTCCTGGGGTACCAAAGAGCAGGCTGAGTAGGGCGAGGAGCTCCGGGTCCGGATTTTGCTCATCCTGTCTCTGTGGCTGAGCTCTCTGATGTCCACTCGTCTCACTCTGGGTCTGCTCCACCTACACAAGTTGTCTCACTTTGGTGGCAGCAATACGCTCTTTCTGGAGAAGCGTGGCACACTCTTAAGTGACATTCTTCTAGGCAAAAAATGAGAGCAGTTGATACCAGGTGATTGAAACAACACAGTGAGTGAGATATATATATATATATATATATATATATAAAACGCAGGGCCGTGAATCTCTCCCAGAATCCTCCCCTTTCCTGCCACTTTCTGAAGCAGTTCTGGGAGGCTTCTGTCCTGAGTGTCTTTAGGGAGTGTCCAAGACCATGCAGTAGAGGGGCAAGTGTTTTAGAATGTGACAGTGAGTCCTGGTCCCCCTGTTCACCAGGGCTGGCACCGGGCAGCATCCCGTTCTTCCCAAAGTCAGAATGACTGTGAAAGGGCTACAGTTTCAAATCCGTTGAGAAGGTGGAGGCAGTCACCACAGAGTAACTAAAGACATTTGGAAAGGAGGACGCCAGAGCTGTCTAAGAAAGCAAGAAGGGCAGGGGTATAGCTCAGTGACCTAGGTGCTTGCCTGGCACGTGCAAAGTCCTGAATTTGATCCCTGGTACAAACAAAACAAAACAAACAAACAAACAAAAAAAAAGCAGCAAGACTATGGGATGAAAGGCCGGCCAAATAGCTCAGTGGATCAAAGCCCCTGCAAGCAGGTGCAGGGGCTGGGCTTCGATCCCCGGGCCTGCCGTGCTGGCCCCGCCCCCCGGGTGTGCTGAGATAGCCATTGAGACTGGACGTGGTGGCATGCGCCATAATCCCAGCTCTTGGGAGGCTGTAAACAGGCGGGTCACTAGGAGTCTGATCTAGTAATGAGACCCTGAATACCCTGTAGACCCTTTCCTAGGAAAAAAAAAATGGGACGAGTGTGTTTGAAGTAAGGGGGATGTTTGTGCAGGGATTTCATGACAATGTGTCTCTTGGAATAATAAACGCTTTAGTTCAACACCCCCTGTAATTTTTAGTCAGCCTTTGTATATGTGGAAAAGGGAGCCTCTTGCCTCCTGTGGTCATTGCAGGACTGTTATGGTCTGTGTCTAGGTGTCCCCCAGCGTCATGCAGTCTTTGGGGCGGCTTCTAGAGTTTGTGCATAACTCAGGATCCAATGCTGGGATTATGGGTGTGAGGGCTGCGCCCACCCTGGGCTGGGTAGTCTGCACACAGTGTAAGGAAGGGAGCGAGGCCTGCTGGCCGCCGCAGCCACTGCTCCTCCCTTGGCTCTTGCTGTCTTCTGCGGCCATGAGCTGCTGTCCTCTGCCATGTACCACTCTGCCTTGGGGCCAGGCGAGGATGCACTGAAACCTCAACTGGGAGCTAAAGAAACCTTTCATTCCTTAATTGTGGGTGTCGGGTATTTTGTCCCAGCAATGAGAGAAAAGTAACTAAGACGAGGACAAAGCTGTTTCCAAAGTAATTCTTACAGCACCCAGATTTTAGAACAAATAAACAAGTGACGGGACAAGACCACACTACACCAGGCTCGACTTACTTAGAAAATAAACAGCCTCAGCTCTTCCTAGAGGAGTAAGAGACAACTACTTCAGCATCTACCCCAGGCTGGGCATCATGGGGGAGACTGTGGTTGGGATAGCAAATCTCGTTTTTAGAGTCCTTAACAGTGGGAATGCTTGTCTTAACACTTCGGTCCTTCCGTGTATGTTTCAGGTGTAAAAGTGAAAGAGGTGATGAGGAACATTACCAGGGTGGCCGAAGAGCTCCGGTCTTTTGTCCACATCTCTGAGGAAGCCATCCACGGCATTCTGGAGGCGAATGTTTCCCACTCGGAGGTATGAGCTGCTCTGGGCGCTGCGCCCTCGTGCAGCCGGGCCTGGGCTCAGCACCCCAGCCCCCTCCCCTCCCCAGCGCTCTCTTCCCTCCCTCTCTCCTCCCCCTCCTGTCTTCTGCCTGGAAAATGGGTTGCTGCATCAGCCAGCTGCATCAGCCAGCGGGGGAAACTGAAGAAAGAACTGCAGATGTCACACATCCAGGGACAAGGGCCACTTCCCAGGTGGCCCTGGGCAGGGTCATGACAGAGGAAGGGAGAAGGTACATTTCCTGGCCACAGCAATGTCCTCTTGGGGCTTTACCTTCCCCTGCAGAACACTGAAACCTGCTCCAAATGACCAGCTGGGCCTAACGCTTGTTTCCTTTCAGCTCTGCTTCAGTGGGGCTGGATGTGAGCTCAGTAGGTAGATTCAGAAGAATCCATCTAAGTTTAAAAGGCAGTAGGTTACATGCTGGCCCCGACCCCGGGTGCGCTGAGCCATCCCCCAAGATCAGGCGTGGTGGTGCATGCCCGTACTCCCAGCGCCGGGGAGGCTGAAAATGGAAGGATCTATGTGAATCCAACCTGCATGGTGAGACTCTACCAAATACATAAGAAAGCAAGCAAGCAAGCAAGCAATAGGTTAGAAGCTAGGAATTTAGAAGTTCATATTATAGTGGTCAGTTTACAGTAAGACACGTAGCAGCCTCCTGTCCTGTCCTGTCCTTTCCTTTCCTGAAGTGGGGCTTGAGCCCAGGGACACTCTTTCACCGAGCTACATCCCCGGCCCTTTTTATTTTGAGATAGAGTCTAATTCATTTGCTCCAGTGGAACTCCAAACTGCAGTCCTCGGGCCTCAGCCTTCCTCGGGGCTGGGATTGCAGGTCTGTGCAACCAAGCCCAGATGCTATTTTTCTGAAAAAAATCCAGTTCATCTTATTCAACACTGAGTGTGTGCTCATGAGGACTTTGGGGAAAAGGCAGAGGTGAGGAGAGCGGCATCAGCTCGCTCTCAGCCTTCGCTAGAAGCAGTGGCAGGCTTGGCTTGAGCTCCCTGGTGACCGGAACTCCCACAGGGAAGTCCAAGCTGTGACACACCCTTGAGAAGCTCCCGGAGCCTCTGTAGGTGGAGCCCTAGGGAAGCATGCTTTTTTTTTTTTAAATTAATTTTATTGAGAAACAAATAACAAAGAGACAGTTTCAAAACCAATTAGTAGACAGTTTCAATAACTAATACATTGCATATTGTTGTCTTCGTAGTAGTTCTTCATAGTACAAGATGCAGACATGCTATCCTGTCCAAACACTATTAGTGCAAATCTTTCTTCTCATTGAATTAAGAGAAAGTAGCTGTATATCTATCCTATTTTGCATATACAGATGCAAAATGATCCTTCATTTGTATCCCCTTTTTTGTTTAATTTTGTCATAGATGGGTATTCCATTGCCATTTAAGTATTGTAGGTGCGTGAATTCAGCAAAATAATCCAATACAGTCCAGTAGTTCGTAACAGTGGTACCCTTTGGATCCCTTCAGTTCACAGCCCGGATGCCTTTGGGGCTCGGCGGCCGCCAAGTGGTTTGGCCGAGTGGCCACGAGGTGGCACTAGTGTTCCACCACGAAACCCACCAGGGCTTTTCTTTGGAGCCGCCGCCAATGGCTTTGCAGCCTTCTTAAGGTCTGAGTCTCTCAGGCCAGCGGCTGTGGTCACGCACGTGGCGGCCGGTCAGGTAATGAAGGAGCCAGCAGGGCACGAGCTCCCCACCCAAGCACGCGCCGAGTCTTCAGCTCAGAGCCGCTTCTTGTGTAAACTTACGCGCATCTGCTGCAATCCCTAGGAAGGAGGGAGTCCGCGTCAGCTTGGGTAACACACTGGGCTCTGCTGTTGTTTACTGTGCGTAGGTGACAACAGGGCTGTGTGATTTGCAGTGCTATTTCCTTATTTTTGTTCCTATGCTCTTTATTGCGGCTTCATTAGCCAGTTTGCAAGCAGATTCAATTGAGCTTTTTTTTTTTTCTTTCTTTCAGTATTTGGGTTTGAACCCAGAGCTTTCACATTGAGTTACATCTTACATCCGCTCTTCTCTCCCTCTCTCTCTCTTCTCCTCTCGGCTCCCCTCCCCTCCCCGTCCTTCCCTCCTCCCCTCCCCTCCCCCTCCCTTCCCTTTTACTTCTCCTCCCCTCCCCTTCCCTCCCCTCCCCTCCTTTCCCCTTCTATGACAGAGTCTTGCTGAGTTGCTAAATTGCCCAGACTGGGCTCAAACCCATGATCCTCCTGCCTCAGTCTCCCCAAGTGCCTGGATGACACAGGCGTGGGCCATCAATCACACCTGACATGGGATTTTTCCTCTTAGCTGCTGGTGGCCTTCAGAGAATTTTTGCCAGAGGGTTAGCTGCTGGGGAAGACGGTAGGCCTTCCTCAGCAGGTGACGATGGAGGAGTCACAGAGCTGGCCCTTGCATCTGCGGCAGGACAGGAGGGAGTGAGCCAAAGCGTGGAGACGGCTGGTGCATGGCTGCTGGAGGAGGTGCAGAGCGCCTTCCTGTTGGGTTACGGTACTGGGCATTGGCCGCAGCGCCTGTGCACTGAGCTGTGCCCTGGAGCACCCCCCGCTGGCCTTTATTAAAATTTGAGATTCACTCAATTGCTGAGCAGCCCGGGCTGGGTTCAGACTTGCACTCCTCCTGCCTCGGCCTCCCCGAGTGCTGGGACGGTAACTGTGCACTGGCACACTCGGTAGAAGCTGTACTCTTTAGCACACCCAAGGAAACCCCAGCAGCCACCGCAGGGCCCTCGGCCATCCTGCAGCCAGCTGCTCTTCCTGGCTGGACCTGCCGCTCTGCTTCCTGCGGGTTCCCACCTCACCCAGAACAGCAGTGGAACCAGATTTTTGCTGTCTGAAAATTACCAGCGGGCTCAGATTCCAAATGGACCGAAAGCACCATGCCAGGGTCAGCCACCTGCACCTGTTTTGTCCGCCTAACAGCAGAGCAGCATTCTGAGGACCTTGCCGCTCCACCTGGCGGACTCCAGTTGTTAGCCTCCCTAGTGCTGGGATTACAGGCACGCCGCCACGCCCAGTCTCAATCGCTGGCTCAGCACTCCCGGGGGTGGTGGCGGTAGAGGTGGTGGTGGTGGTGGCGGGGCCGGCGCTGTGTCCCAGGGATCGAACCCCAGTCTCTGCCCTCTGCCTAAGGTGCTTTGGTCTGCTGAGTTATCTGGCTGGCCCGCCATTCCTCTTTCTTGAGGAACTCCAGCAACAGAGCTGTTTGGCATCGGTGCCAGTGGTCAGTGCTGAGCCCTGCCACGTTGGACCCCTCCCTGCTCTTTCATCCCCTTTGATTCTCAACCTCACCTCGGGGTCTGGCAGCCTCAGCGTCACCCCCTTGGGGCTCCTAGGGAGTTGGAGCCAGCTGCTGTGCCCTCCATTTTGCGGTCCCCAACTTCCGTCTGTGACATTGGCCTTCCAGAAGTGACCTCAGAGCCTGCCCTGCCTCTGTACCTGCCTCTTTTTCTGTGGCACTGGGGATCGAATCCAGGGCTTTCCCCCCAAGTGATATTCCCATTCCTTTTGCCATTTCTTCCTTCGAGATGGTTGTCCCTACGTTGCCTCGGCTGCATGCTGCTCCTCCCTGCAGGGTGACGACAGCGTTTCCATGTGGCCTGATTTTCTTCAGCTTGCAAAGCTCCCTCGCAGAGCTGCTCTTCCTGACAGTTTCCATCCTCAACGCAGCAGCCAGCTTTTCCTCCCAGGCCCAGCAACGCTGGGTGCAGCCCTCCGGCTCACACCGCCCACACCCGGCTGTACACTTCCCTGCTCTGCACACGGCTGGGGCTGGCTGTCTGCGGGCGTCCAGGGCTCAGGCTTGTGCTGAGCGCAGCATCCCTCCTGGCAACTGTTGTCCCTTTCACAGTGGACCACTTACTTCAGCTGGTTCAGATGCCTGGCCTGAGTCACTGGTCCTCTAGCCACTTTCCGAGCCAGCCAAGGGCATCTGGGAACAATGGCCGGAGCCCGGCGTCTGTGCCTCTGAGGGTTTCAGGCCTGGCGTCCAGCCCACATCAGACGCTGGCTCTTGGCCCCCACCCAGGAATCCTGCGCTTGGTTTCCAGCTGAGCAAAGCAGCACTGGCTTATTTTTAAGTCCTCACCTGTTCCCCTCTGCTACAGCCCGGAGAGACGGAACTGGCAAGATGTAAAGAGATCCAGGGTGAGATCTGGAAAACCAGAGAAAAGGAGTGGAAGCAAACCTGTCCCTAGGCCTGTGACTCCTGAGCCGTTTTTTTTTTTTTTTTTTTTTTTTTGTGGAACCACGGATTCAACTCAGGCCCTTGTGCTTGCCAGGGAAGCGCTTATTCCACTGAGCCATCTCCCCGGGCCTCTCCTGAGCCTTCTTCCTGGGAACTTACTTCCACAGGGCAGGGAGTGAGAGAAACAAGTAGAGAACTGCAGGGTGACTTGGACTGTCTGGGTGGGCGAAGCTCTCGCCTCGAGCATGGCAGCAGAGAGGACTTTCTCTGGCCTGTCTGGCTCAAGGCCTGAGAGAATCAGGGGAAGCTGCTCTGGGTGCATCCATTGCTGGGGGCTCGCTGCTTCAGAGCCCAATTTATTGAACCCACACACAGCATGGCAGCAGACAGAGCCCCGTGTCGATGCCTGATTCCCACCCAAGACCTGCCTGGGTCTCTGTCCCTCAGAGAGCGGCCTTGGAAACAGTGCGCAGCACCGAGCCTCCACAGGATGCCCCGGCACAGGGCACGTCCCAGAGGATAGGGGCCTTTGTGGGTGACTGGGCTTGAAAGCAAACACATTCCACCGGCCACTGTGCAAGTGGTTTGCAGGCAGAATCAGCATTTCTGAGGGCAGACTCCGCAGAGCAGCCCTCTCCAGGGATGGGCCTCTTCTATCCCGCCAAGGTTGGCTGAGCGAAGACTGGGGTCTAAGCCGGCAGGTTTGGGGGACTTTGGGCTCTACCCTCTGGTGCACCTGCAGACTGCGGGCTGGCCAGACCCACAGGCACGGAGCCTGGCGTGGGAAGAAGTCGCTGCGTGTGCTGTCCTTTCTGGGGAACTCTGACTAATGCCCACACCAGCTCTCTCCCATCCTTTTCTCTCTTCCTTTCACTTCCCTCCCCACCCCATCACTGGGAATCAAGCCCAGGGCCTTTGAGCTGAGCTGCATCCCCTAACCCTGCTCTAGTTTTTATTTTGATCCCGGGTCTTACTGAGTCACTCAGCTGCCGCAGGCTGAGCTCCGGCATGGAGTCCTCATGCCTCCCCTCCCAGAGCACAGGGATTGACGAGCTGCCCCCACCCGCCTCCACAGTCTCCAAGACCTCTGCCTTGTGGCGTTCTGCGGCACGTGGAAGCATCTGAGGGTTCTCCCTGACTCCAGGGCTGCTGAGATCCGGGCAGCAGCTCCTGTGACAGGAGGCCCTCTCCGCTCCCACCGGGCTACAGTAGTCCAAGGCAATTATCATCGGGAGAGTGAAGAAATATACGGTGGGGCAGTTTTGACTCTGATTTTACTACCGAAGTTCCTAACTATAAGTTGTGCCCAAATGAAGAGGCGGCTTGGAACCCCGGACCGCGGAGGGCGACTCTAACCAGCTGCTGCCCGTGCGGTCAGCGCTCTGAGTGCCTCATTTTTATTTTTACATATTTGCTACAGGGTCTCCCGACACTACTTGGACTCGTGCTGATCCTCCTGTTTTCAGCCTCCCATGAGCTGGGGTTCAGGCGTGTGCCACCACGCCGGGACTTGGTGGGGGCTCAGTGCGTCTGGGGGCGGGCCGGCGCTGCACGTGGTGCCGGGACTCCAATCCGAGTGCCTTCTGAACAGACTTGTTCTTTCCCCTCCCGAGGATGCGATCCAGGGCCTCTGCACTGAGCTACATCCCCAGCCCATTCTTATGTTGAAATGATCTCACTAAATTGCCCAGGCAGGACTGAAACCTGTGATCCTCCTGCTTCGGCCTCCCAGCACGCCGGGATTACGTGCTGACGCCACTACACCCAGCTTGCTTTTTTAAAAAACAGGCTTGCTAATCTTATTTTCAACTCAGATGTGGAGGAGGCAAAAATACCAGCTTTGCCTTGTGAGCAGTGGAAAGTAAAAGTAGATGAGCTGAAAGCGAAGGTTGAGACTGACACCAGACAGCGTCGGGAGGGGGCTGGGTGGGCGGCTCTCGGGTGAGCCCCGCAGAGAGCAGGAAGGTGTTGGGACAGGGTTCCGAGCCCTCAAGCAAGGGCCACCTTCGAGAGTAAGAAGTCCGAGAACGAGGTACGGTATCAGCAGCCTTTCCCTTGAGGTTTGGCGGAGTCACTTTCCGGTCTCGGAGGTACAATGTCCACCATACGCAGCGTAGAGGAGGAGAGGTCGATCGGCGTTCACAGTTCCAGAAGTGTCGGTCACCCGGTAGCTGATTCCGGTGCCGAAGCAGTGCGGCGGTGCAGAAGAGCAGGGAGGGAGGGTCCGGGGGAGGACAGCAGCTCGCGTCACTGTGCACAGGAAGCAGAGAGAAGGAGGGGGGGATGGGCCCTCGCAGGCCACGCCCCATGGCCCCTCCCCCACCAAGCCAGGCCTCTTCTCAGCGCATTCAGCTGCCCAAGCCCTGTGCCTCTGCAGGTGAGAGACTCTTGAGGCTCATCTTGACCTGCTCCACAGCAGTGCTGACAAAAGCCAAGAGGCTTGGGTTGCAAGACCTGGGCTGTGACCTGGATCTGAGTGTCCCCCAGAGGCCCTGTGCTAAGACTTGGTCCCAGCTGTGGGCTATGGGCAGGTGCTGGACCCTTGAGGGGGCGGGGTCTGGCAGGGGAGGCTGGGTCACTGGGGTGGGGCCTTCGAAAAGGACACAGGGATGGCAGCCCCACCATGCTCTCACCACGTGTCCCCCTAGGTCCCCATCTTCTGCCGAACTTTGTCTGGCCACAGCCCGGAGTCAGTGGCCACCTGACCATGGGCTGAACCCTCTGAAACCCTGAGCCTGGCAGACCTTTCCCCGCGTCATTGCTTGCAGCAACCGGAAGCTGATAGGTGCAGGCTGTTTGTGCGTCTTCAGCTCGCTGGGAGCATGACTCTCAAATCCTGTCCTGCAGGAGGTAAGGCCAGGGGCTGACACATGCCGCGTCCCAGGGGCGTTCACCCGATCCTTGTGTTTTGGCACAGGTGCTGCCCAGCATGCTCACTGTGGCTCTGTCTGGCAAGTGTGACCAAGAGCTCCTCCGGCTCCTGCTGGCCTTTCCTGAGGCTGAACAGTCTGGGTCTGCAGCCACAGAGCTCTGTGCCCTGCCTGGGTCAAAAGTGCTTACGCTGGTTGTGGTCCTGAGCCGGAACTTGGATCTGCGCGCTTTTGTCTACAAGGTGAGATGTGGGTGGCCATGGGGCACATCTGGGGGCAGAGGAGCGGCTTCCTGGCCTTGCCACGGGTGCACAGGGCGGGGTGGTTGTTCTCGTCCTCCATATATTCGGGGTTGTCCTGGGATGCCATTTGGGTAGGGAAGGGTGCTCCAGGTCCTCATCTCAGATGTGCTGGTGTTTGCATAGAGCCCACGTGTGTCTTCCTGTGGACTAGAGATTGTCTAGAGATTGTCACGTCTGAGGCCTAGAGCATGCCAGGCGGATCGAGCTGCATTGTGTTTTTTAGAGAAGAGTGACCCCAAGCTCCCATGTCTCTACACACTCAGCACAGATACACATTTTTTTTTTCCTGTGGTACCGGAGATTGAACCCAGGGCCTTTGCACTGAGCTATATCACCAGCCTTTTAAGTTAAGTTTTTAAACTTTGCAACAGAGTCCAGCTACATCGTTAAGTTGCCCAGGCTGGGCTCAAATTTGTGATCCTCCACCTCAGCCCTCAGAGTGCTAAGATGCCGGTATGCATCACTACACCTGGCTCAGTCTCTTACAAACTTACTTTCCCTTTCTGGGTTGCCTGAGTGTCTGATGTGACCTGGCCGGCTGTGGTAGCTGCCGTGAGATGCCCAGCATGTGGCTGTGGCAGGCCTGGCCCCGTATCTCAGCACCATGTTGCTGACTCTGAGGCTGGGGCTGGCAGGCTTCATCAGGGGAGGGTGTTCAGGCATCTCTGGGGACAGGATGGCATAGCCTTGGGGCATCGGCAAGGAAGGACCAGGGACCATAGGCATCATAGACCCTGGGGCTGGGGTTCCTTACTGGAGGATTTAGTTGGGAGCTATTCCTGCCCTTGAGACCCTCATGGGTCTGTGCCTGGGTGGTGGCGTCTGTCCCTCCAACATGATGCATCTGGGGATGTGGGCTGCCCTGGGGACATAAGGAGGGAAGGCAGCAGGGCACAGCCCCAGGCCCCTGCTCTATACACAGCAGGGAGGACTGGGAGGGAGAGAGTGGGAGGATGAGCGCACTTCCCAGAGGCCCTTGGGGCAGCCCAGCTCCCAGCATGCTCAGTGGCTCTCTGGGCACCTTCTCCATGGTTCTCCTACTTTCTGTCTCTGCTGTTTGACTCTTCACCAGCCTCTATGGGACTCTCATTTCCTGAGCCCTGATCCTCCTTAGGGACGTATTTCACGCTGTCTATGATATAGCATGGCAAGGTGGCCATGGGTCCGTTGGGTCCCCAAGGAAAGTCTTGGGGTGGGGGAGGGTGACTTTACTGATCCACCAGCCATGGCCTCCTTCCTTCCCTCTAAGAACCTAAGGGTGAAGGTTAGAAAGCTGGTACACACACACACACACACAAACACACACAAACACACACACACACATATACCCTGAAAGTGAATTCTCTCACAAAAATAAGAGCCACAGTCACTTGGCTTCTTATCTTATTCTGGAAAATGGAAAATTCTGCAGGCAAATGTAGGAGAAGGGCGCGGAGCTGCTCTGAGTTTTCCTTCGATGGAGGGAGGGGGCGGTTGCCAGTTCATGCATCCAAGTACTTACTGTGCAGTTGGTGTGGCCACACGCTAGCCTGTCTCTGGCAGCTGCATCAGTGACTGAGACAGACATGCCCTGCTTCTGTGGCAGGTACAGCCCTGGGCCGAGATACCCAGATCCCAAGCAGGAGATACCGAGTGTCAGGCGTGCAGCGCAAGCAGAGCTCGAAGGACAGCAATGCGTTTAAAGAGCCTGCTGTGTTAGTCTCTGGCCCTGAGCCTTCCTAATCACGAGGCTTCAGGAAGCCTTTCACTCTGGGCCTCAGTTTCCCCATCCACAAAGTGAGCATCTGCATGTCTTGGTGGACCAGGAGGACCGGGATGGCATGAGTTTTGTGAATGCAGTGGAGCAGCACAAAAAATCCAAATTGCCTGTGTGAAAGCAGTGTTTTATTTCGAACTTCTGCTCAACCATCGTAGCCATCTCGAAGAGACCAAAAAATATTTTGAAAATGGTTTAAATGTGAACTGCAGATCACTTTCATTTCTGGCTTGCATTTTAACAATATGCTTCCGTCTGACGTGCCCCGGAGATCCGAGTGCTGCCCATTCTCATGGAGAGGATCATTTTAGAGCGCTGCAGCGAGGTCTCTAAAGTTCAGCGAGGTCTCTAAAGTTTGAAAGAGAATGAAGTCAAAGAAGCAGGCAGGTTTTCACTGCTTGAAAGTGCTTATGGGGGTAAAAATGCCGTGTTGGTCATTTCATGCTGTGTGCTTGTCCTTGTCGCCCTGCAAGGCTCTGATCCCATCGGAGGCCAGGGGCCTGCTCGGTGCCCTGCTGGATGTGGTCTCCAGCCTCAGCTCCATACTCAGCAAAGCCCAGCGTGTCCTCAGACACCTTCCTGGATTCCTTCAGGCCTTAAAAATTGATGCTCTGCTAGAGAGGATGGACTTCGCGCAGGTGTGTGCTTGATCTTTTGCCCCCAGGGAGGTGCTGGTTTGCTTTCTTTGTGTTGTCCTCCTTTGCCTTGATTCCTCTTCCAACAGCAAAAGTTTGCACTGGGCAACAAAATATAGGGCCACGAAGTCATTGTGATGTGTCTGGAGGCACTGGCGGGGCAGAGGAAGGCCTAGCACTGTCCTAGAAACTGGATGGAGGAGACGTTGCTGCTCATGCCCCATCCAGGTGCAGGTTGGGGCCTTGAGTGTTGTCTGCAAAGTAAGAAATCACTGACTCAATTATTCGCACAAGATCTCAAGGGCCTGCTTGACTTCATCCAGAGAGCAAATTGCTTTCAAGAACCTTAAGACTTTTATTTACATATAAATAATTGGCTTACAAATTACAGATCCTTTTCAGCAAATGCAAATAGAGACTTGGATTAGGTTTGCAGCATGATATCAGTTTGTGTTTGAAGTCTCCTCGTTTGGGATGGGACTGACCAGGAGTGGATAGAAGGACTGTGGGGTCCTGAAGGGGTGGAGGTGTGGAGTGAGGAGTGGGGGCGGTGAGGTCGGTGGAGCTTCCTAGAGGCAGCTACCCCCTGATGGTGTGTGGGAAGCGGTCACGTGCCAGGGTAACTTGGCAGCATGACCACACATCAAGAATGCTAATTACTTTGAGTTAGTTATGTTCTGTAGATTAATAGTTTATTACTTGATAAACAACAAGGGCTCACTGCTCCATGCATGTGTGTGCATGTGCATGTGTGTGTATGTGCATGTGTGTGTGCATGTGTGTATGTGACATGTTCCTCTCCTACCGGGTCTATGGGTCAGAAAAACCATTGCAGGGATGTGAATGGCATCGCAAGGCCTGAGATGACCACAGCAGGCCCTCTGTCCCTCAACTCACTGAGCGGCTTGTGCATCAGCTGCAGAAGGGTCTATGCTCAGGGAGAACAGCTATGGCCCTGTGTGATGACGGGAGTACACATCACGTTTCAGGCCTCACCACGTGACCAGGCCAGAAGCTCAGCTTTCGACTCTTTCCAGTCTGTGATGAGCATGATGTGCCAGGACGAAGCATCTTTCCTGAGCAGTTCAAACACGTTCCTGAATTTGCCCAGCGTCGACCAGCTCTTGGAGGACAACAAGGAAAAGTTCAACATCCCGCAGGATTCCAGTAAGAACTGCGATCCTTGCTCACTTAAGTTCATTGCATATTGAGAATTAGCTCTGCTGTTTACAAAGTGCTCTGTGTACCCATAGGAATAGAATTTTCTCCTTCATTTTTAGGACAGTCTCTAGGTGCTGGCATGGTAGTTGGTGTTGGAAGGTCCCAGGACCCTTGAGCATAGCTAACCCTGTCACCCCATCACCAAGGGGAGGAATCTAAAACATCTATCATACTGAGGTCCCAGTTTATGTTTCTGAGCCATGTTATTTTCGGAGGTGATGTGGAAACCATCCCTAGCTCACAACCTGTTATGAAGGATGATGGAGAGGCTGCATCTTCAGTGCTTTGCACAGTGGTTTAAACACGTCCCCTGCTGCATAGCCTGTCACCACTCACTCATGGTCCCTTCTCCTGGCTTCCGCAGGGCAGCCTCCAGGCACTGCCAGCTGTGATGAGGCAGTGACCGGCTGGGCACTCATCTGGGGCTCTGGTGCTACCAGTAGGAGTCTTTTCTTTGCAGCTCTAGCACTTCTAGAGACCAGGTCATGGCCAGCAGGGGCCTCTCTCGTCCTCTGCAGATTGCAGTCTCTTCTACAAGGTTTCCATGACTGTTCAGTCAGGATAGCTGATGGTTTAGCCCTTAGGTAATAAATAAATAAATAAATAAATAAATAAATAAATAAAGCTTTGTTAAAATTAACAAAACAAAACAACAACAAAACCAATAGAGTCCACAAGATCTGGACTTGGGTCATCTTAGAACTCTGCCTACCACACCCAGAACACATCTTGACCTACTTTGTGCTAACAGTGGATCTGGGGGTGAAAGTGTAGGTATGGCTGGGAAGAGGAGCTTGGGATTGCATAAGCTGAAAGTATGGGAGGTGGAGTCAGATGCGTTGTCGACTGCAGAGGTGGCAGGTCAGTATATTTATCATCTAAGGAACAATTTGGATAGATGAGGAATATCAGGTAATTTGGTAATATAGGTACTATTTATATTGGGTGGGCTTTTGTTATTTGTTTAGTCATCATTTAATTGAGAATTTGAGATTTTTGAACATGATCAATTGCCCATGTAATCCAGTCACCTGTCTGTGCATCTGTCCATCTCCACCTGTCCACCCACCAATTCATGTATCCGTCCATGCATCCATGAGTGCATCCATCCATGCGTCCACCCACCCACCCACCCATTCACGCATCCATGCATGCATCCATCTGTGCATCTATCCATCCATGTATCCATGCATCCATCCATGCATGCATGCATCCATTCATGCACTCATATATCCATCCATGCGTCCATCCATGAAGCCACACGTTCATCCATCCATGCATCCATCCACTCATCCACGCATCCATGCATCCATCCACTCATCCATGCATCCATGCATCCACCCACTCATCCATGCATCCATGCATCCATGCATCCATGCATCCATCCACTCA